CCGCCGCTCACGGGCGGAGACGTCTTGGTCAAACACAGCTTTTCCGTGCCGCCGTTTAGCGCGGAAAGTGTTTTGAATAATAATAATAATAATAATAATAATAATAATAGTAATAAACATACCAAGCTAGGGAGCTTATTCTAAATTTTTATCCGGTACATGAGTTTTTCAGTGCTTCACAGCTGTGCGCACACAGTAGAAAGGCAAATCCTGTTCCTCTGGTCTCTCAGAGAACACCGCACACGCAGTACATTCGCTCTCAGCACTCGGAAGTTTTCATGCTGCTGTTTAACTAAGGTATCTTCCTTCCTTCAGGGTCGCCGAGGAACATTTTTTAAGAGTGAAGGTGCTTTGGTTTCAGTTCTGAGTTTTTGAGTGATGCTTGTAAATCAGCCCAAAATGCACTGTGATATAATTTGAGCGTTCAACGACAAGATTAGTTTTTAAAAAGCGAAAGTTGTTGTGCTGAAGTTGTAATTGTGTAACGATTTTGCATGAAGTAAGGTTATGAAACAGTATCAAGCATTGAGTCAGAGCAGCTCAGTGAAACAGACTGTAATAAGTACAGCTTGGGAGAAGAAAAATATGTCACAATAGCAGGAAATTATGTTGACTTTATTTTGGCGAATTCAAAAGGACTTTAGCCAATTCGAAAGGATCTCACTTTTCTATCCTCTGTGCTATTTTGTAAGATGATTTCTTCCATTTGTGTCAGCCTTCAGGTAAAATAACCATAAGTGAGTTGCTCAAGTTAGCTGAAATATATGGGCAGTAACATAGGAGATATAAAACATATATGTGACCACATCCCAGCCCATGGCTGCCTCTACCTGTAACGTAAGTGTCAATGAGAATAGATTGAGCAGTAAATGGCAAATTCACCCAGCAAAGATTTTGCTTCAGTATGCATTTCAGTTCCTGTATGTGAATAAATCATAGATTTATTTGCACAGCTTGTGCTCTGTCACTTTAAAAGAAGTGTAACCTAGGTAGTGACATTTTTTGTTTCCATCTGTACACCTTGCATCACAGTCTTCAATAAATACCATAATTTTTTAAAAATTCTAAATACATATTATAAACATATATTATACACTTATTAGATATTTATATTCTATATATAATTATATTTATTATCTATTTATATTCTATACCATTTCTTGTTTGAAGTGTCTCTATTATTTGAGATTAGATAGCAAAGATAAGCCTGATTTTTTTTTTTCTTTTGTGCTAGTTGTATTCTTTGTCATAGACTGTGATATAAATTTTATTTCAGTGTTGCAGTTTCCCAGGAATTAAAACCATAACACATATGAATAGTTTATCAATATAAATTATGTTATCTTTAATTTTTCAGACATCTATCTTAGTAAGCCTTCCTTCTGGGGAAAATTTGCATGCTGCCTCTCAGACCTGGGCAGAGCCTTATTTGCCCTTAAAAAATGTCTGGTAAAGGATGAGAGGGAGATTATGTATCTTGGGAACCCAGCTTTGTCAGTCCATCTCCAAACACTGGGCAGTGGGAACCGCAGGGCTGCCAGGGTGATTTAGCTCTGCAGGGAGATTTTCCTTTGTGTTTTTAATGTGATTTTTAAGCCCCATGTGACTGGGTGGTCAGCCCCAAGCTACACAAGAATGGAACTAGTCAGAAGTTTTATCAGCACAGGGGTATAAGAAAATGGGATGAAAGCAGTTCTCCTTTCCTACCTTCCTTTTTCCTGCTGACAGTGTGCCCCAAGGAAGGAAATGCACCTGTCTTTCAGAGACCTTCTCAAGGCAAAGAAGTTTTAGTTCATTTTTCATCAGGCTGATGCAACCCAGCTATCTGTCATGATATATCTAATCCCACTTACAGCGCACCCCATCCCTTTACTTGGGTGCACAGTGTTTTTTCTGGAAGGAAGACACAGAAAGCTTCTGTTAGTTTTTTCTTCATGTTATGTCACTGTAGAAAAACAACAGAGAGAAGCCCATTAGGCAGCAAGTTTAACTATTGGGTTTTTTTTCCCCTTTATTTCTCCTTTTACTTTATGAAGCTGGAACCAACTTTGGGTAAGTCAGATGTTTTGAATATCTAGAATAATTATTCTAACATGTATGTAAAGCAAAGTGGCCTATTGCAGCCCTCACTGCACTGCTGAAACTGCCTGAAGTCACACTAGGGATAAAAAGAAAAGGGACAGCATGATGAGGAATATCTTGCAGGGCAGAGATAAGAAGTAGAAAAAGAAGTAAACAAGTTAAGTGTGTGTGAGAAGAAAATATTTCCAACCTTGGTGGTTCTTAGAGGCAGATATCTGCTGGTACGCTGCAGATATCATTCACAGACATCCAGCATTCCTCAGTATGAAAATGAGGGTGCAAGAATATTGTGCAATTCACCTTAGAACTTGGGAAAGCAGTTATTACTTCTAGGTTGAGTAATACTGCTGCAACCAGTGGGGCTGTTTTACCAAGTCTGTGGTGTGTAAGTTCTCACCAATTCATTTCAGATCATCAGCACTGAAAGGAAGGCAGGGCTGATGAACTGCTGTGCTTACATTACTTTTAGAAAATGTACAGAGTGTTCTGTAAACATTGTACAGGTCTTGTACTGCACAGGTAAACAAAGACTGCAGCACTGGCCAACGCAGAGACTCTCCAGTGCATTTTACTTATTCTCTTGCTAAAGACCTACATCAGGTAACCAGAGACAGACAGATGTGGCTTCTTCCATGCTGTTTTCTGAGTTACCTATATTTTTTATGGAAAGTTGATATTTCTTGGGAATGAAAACACAGGAACTCCCACTGCTGATGGACAGCTGTGGTCTTGCTGCCAGCATGTCTTGCTGCATGGTTTTGTCCCTCCTTCTCCTTGTAAGACAGAGTATTTTGCCATGCTTGGGAAGTCCTAAGAGATACTACTGGAAAATACAGCACATAATTAATTAGTAGTAATAGTAGTTAAAAGACTGAGGCACCAACATTCAATTCCAGGCAGTATGTTCAATCTGTTAATTTCTATTTCCCCCCCTTTGCTGTGTCTTCACTTCTCTCGCATCTTTGCTTTCCCTGTTTTGTGCCCTCCCTGTTTCTGTCTTCTCCCTGTTTGCTTGCCTGGTTTTCTTTCTCTTAAGAATTATTTCAGTGTTCTTCCCCCAACATGCATGGGTACATCACTTACTCACTAATGACTGCCACAGAGCAATATTGTTTCAATTTTATAGTATTTAGCACTTTCAACTTACAGAACACTTTCAGATTTTGTTCCCTGGGAACAGAACCCTGACAAAATCCAGTTCCTGAACGCTGCAAGGAAACCACCTTTATATTGTTAGCATCCAAATAAAGCATTAGGTCTTCTGGGTTCTTGCTTATCACTTTTGAAAAAATAGTATTTGGCAGCCATGCTGGAGTTGCATGTATCACAGCATGTGTAGAGAGGTAAGCCTGGCCTCCCTGTAGGCAAAGCAAAAGGGTTAAAAAGTGAGATCTTACTAACTTTCTAACTTAACCTTTGGGAATTACTCATCTGAAGGCAGCCAAAGAGAATCATTGTGCTCGAAGCTCTTGTTCCCATCTCACCTTGTTGTTGCTTCACATCCCAGTAAAAGCAGAGCCTTTCATGCTGCTGGTGGGTATGACAAGTAGTGCACACAGCAGCTGACAGCCTGCTTCCTTGGGAAATAACAGCACAGCTCTAAGTGCAGGAGAACTGGGGAACTCCTCTGGTCCACTTAAGATGCTTCCTCATAAGTAGAATCCACTAGGCAGAACTATGGCAGCAATGAGCCCTGCAGATTTTTCCTCCCTCCCTAATTGATCCTATCACAGCAGAGTATCACATTGTTGTCCCCTTTCTCCTTCTCCTCCTCAGCCTCAGTTCTGAATTCTTCCCTCTGCTTTTTTTTTTTCACCCATTTTTGCTCTGTTTTTGACCTTGACTCGTATCTCTGGCGGCTTTTCCTGCTGCCTTTTTTGTGTATATTTCTATTCATTGCCTACTTCCCCCAGGCCCTCAGCCCAGGCCTAGTGCCCTTTGTTGTTTACCCCATCAACTTTTCTCATCCTGTGTGCCTTACCAGTCCCTCCATGGTCAGTTTGCCTTCAAAACTCTACTCTGCTTCTATCACCAGGATTTCTCTCGATCCTATGCAGACTGCATTGTGGTCTCATAATGCAAGAACTCCCTTGCTACCCAAGCTTACCCTGATCTCCAAACAGAAATTCACTGCATCAGCTGTGACACTGCAACCTCATCTGTGCCATTTCCTATCAGTTAAAACACATCTATCACAAGTAAGATTTCCTCTTCCCCACTCCCTACCTCCTCATCCCAGCAACCATGACTATAGCAATAGAAGCTTTGAAATCCAGGGAAAGACAACAGCCAGGACAGTATCAATATGACACTTTTTTCTGACAAGTGTCTGAAATGCTCATTGATCTAAAACCTTATTTTCTCTCCTGGGCCTTCTGCAGTTGCTCTTTCCCCACTGCTGCAATCTCTCATAATCTCTCTCTGCAGACCAGATAAACAGGAATTGGGTGTATTTGCCTACTGTATATTTGAAAAAATACCTTTCAGTTCTGTCCTTTTTTTTTAATTGTAGCTCTAATATTTACATTTCAGTAAACTAAGCAGAGCTCTTCTGTAGCATCTGGCTTTTGGCCAGAAAATCTGATGCTTTTTCCTCTTTCCTTGCTTGCTGGTTTTCCTGCTGCCTGTACCCTAACTAAAGCAGCATGGTCTAGCAGAGCAAGGCCCTTAGCCCTACTTCTGCAGGCAAATTTAATGAGCTTGGCAGCTACAATGGCTGCAACTGATTGAATGCTTCATGAAGGAGCCAAAGGTGTACTCCCCATGTATCCAGATTGCCTTCCTTGTTTAGCAAAACATTGTTTAAGTACTTACCTTCTTATTGTCTTCCCTGGTGTTTGTTTTCCAATGCACTTTCTCAAGTGTCTGCTACTGATTCACATCCTTCTGGCTCCCACTGAGCATCCTGCAGACAACATCTCACATTCTTCAGCTTGAGCACAGGAAAGCACATGCTCTTTTCTTCCTTGGCTCTGCCATTTCATTGAGGGAATGGGCTTTTGGGTGAATACAGAAATACACACTTCTTACTACATTTATTATTTTTCAAGTGCAGTTCACGTAACATTAAACTGCATTATTCCTCTGCCATACTTATGGGTGAGGATATTTCTGTAGGTAAAATTCAGTAATCTTCATGCACTCAGCTGAGAGGGAAGTAAAAGCCCCACTTCTCAGCAGCTCTCCCCTCTCCAGGGGAGGATTCCTTTACAGGTGTATTGGTACAAGATCCATTAATTTCAGCTGCAGTCTCTCTCAATGACAACACTAGGCTGTGGATCAGATCTGACATGCCTGTTTTTAAAATCTGTTAAAAATGGAAACTTCTCCAGTTGCATTTTAAAAGTTCTCTGCCAATCAGTGTTTGGTTTTGTTTCAGGTTCACTGTCTCAATGGAAGTGGTACCAGCCTGGGCCCCAGCAGTAGGTTTCATGCTCCTGCCACATGCAGGAGGATTTTTAGGAAGCAGTATAACCAAAAGAGAAATCCCAACATGGTACGAAACTCTGCAGAAGCCATCCTGGTGTCCACCTAACTGGGTGTTTGCTCCTGTTTGGGGAACTCTCTATACATCTATGGGGTATGTTTTTCACATTGTATTAAGGCACTGACCTGATCTCAAAGTTGCTTTTGGTATGATGCTGTACCAGAGGATATGACTGTACTCCTGTGGCTGTATGTTTGTAAGAAACTATGTCCAGCTGCATGTTTAACAGGTAAAAACATGTTTTGGGAGTTGTGTGTGGGTTTGATAGGACATTTTGTATGCAGAAGTATCCATATCAAAATCAGGAGCTTGAAAATCTGCCATTAATTTGCTTTCCTTATTCATTCTGAGGGGAAGACCTGCCAAGCTGGAAACACTGGGATAAGGCAGAACTGAGATTTCTTCTAAGTATGTCCTTCAGTTTTAGGAGAATTTTAAAAAAGGGGTGGGGGAAATTAGGATAGAACTGTTCTAACAGAGCTGAATAGGGCAATGGATGAAAATGCTGGGTTGGCACTTCCATAGTCCCTCCCCACCAGTATTCTTTCTTTCTTTCTCCTAATACATATACTTTTTAACTTATTTAAGTGCAATACCTGTGTATTTGAAGAGTTAACATTTGAATGAGATAATTTCTGACCTGTGAATAAAAACATGCCTTTTATCAAGGAGAAAAGTGCTGGGTGGCTTTCCCAGTTTCCTTCAAGTTGATTGCACAATGTGTAACCCTGTGTCTAGATTTCTCACCGCGAATCTGGGTAGCAAGTTAAATAGCTTAAAAAAGTCCAGATTGTGACAGCTTATCAATTATTTTGGTAATAGCAAAATCAATGTAGCCTAAGGTGGATAGTCTTGGTTATGTATTATACATTCAGCATAGTGAAAAGCTCATACTTAGTAACAGCCTTCTCTAATCTGTCAGGCACACACATTCCTTGAATGACCAAGACATTTAATTTCTCAAGAATCTCTTAAATATATGGAAAGCAACAAATAACTAAAAGCAAGATTTAATAAGCTTACCTGCTGTTCTTGACAGTTAACTTCCTAGATTTGTGCACCATAATCTTGGTCTGAAGTTGAAGTTAGATGTGTGAACAAGTGCAAGTCCTCGCTGTGCTCTGGAAATCACTTAGGAAACTGAAGTTTCTAATGCTTACCCTGCCACAACTTTCTTTTGTTTTCATTATTCTCTGCAATCAAACTGCCAAAATAGCAAAGCTGTATTGTTCAGTCCCTGTCAAAGAAATGAAAGTGGCTACAGAGCTCCCCATACACAACTCTGCTTTGGGAACCCACTCAATGCCACTCATTTAATCCACTTCAAAAGTGGGTTTTAATTTTTTATTTTTTTAATCTTTGAAATACCATGTTCCAGTATTAAAACAAAGTTCCTTTGCTATTTGCATCTTAGAATTATTTCCATTTCAACATGGCATTCTTTTTTAAGACCAAAATGCAGTAGGTTATCTGTTTCTATGCACTTAAAAGTGAGAAATCAGGCATGACTGGAATTTTTCTCTCTCCATGTTGTTATCCAGAGCAGCTGATGAAGCTTGTGCTGTCCGTTACTTTGCCAAGATAGTAGGGCCTAGATATCTAAATCTTCTAAATTAATCCAGATCCTGGCACTGAAGTTATTTTATTGATCAAGAAGGTGTGATAGCTTTAAACAGTGTAGTGAATGACACTTCCCCTTTGCTTTCTGCAGATACAGCTCCTACCTGGTGTGGAAGGAACTGGGGGGCTTCAGTGAAAAGTCAGTGGTTCCTCTGGGTCTGTATGCAGGGAACCTGGCATTAAACTGGGCATGGACTCCAATATTTTTTGGAGCTCACAAAATGGGATGGGTAAGTGGAACACTAAGTTTCCGAACCAAAGGCTCCTACTCTTACTTGCAAGGTATTAGCATGAAAGATTTGTGTCATAATCTTTTCTCCCTGAAAATGGCTCTGAATACAAAATATGGCTTGCAGAACTTTAAAAAAATTCTCTTTAATGCATGCCAGCATCCACATGAGAGAATTTACAGTTCTAGACCACCCTTAAATTGATAGACTTCACGCAGCTTTCTGCCAGCCTTTGGTAAGAGCTTTGTGTGATTAGAAGATGTAAACATTTATGCCTTATTGCAATTCCTAGGTCTCTCTGGCAAACAGCAGTGATAAGCAGCTTATTACAACATTATTCAGGTGATCAACACCCCTTTTAGAAAAGACTCATTTTCTGCAGCTCTCTGAAGAGAAACAGCTGAATTATTCTCAAAAATAAGAATTGGTAATAAAAAATATAAAATATTTGCCTGGTTTTCTAGCTGTACCTGCAATGCTGTAACAGGGAAAGACTGCTATCCATCACAGATTCATTCACAGTTCATCTCTTCAGGTGACATGAACAAACTGGACAGGTTTGCTTGCTCCAACTCACTTTGGGAAGTGTCTCACTGTCCACTAAAGAGGGTATGAGTGAGAGAGACTTCATTTTCCCTCTCTGCTCCCAGCTGTAATGAATGCCCTTTCTTGTACTTGTATTGTTTTATGACTTGAAGTGGTTTGCAACTCAGCAGAAAGCTATCATCTTTTGCTGTTGGCTGATTTTTTGGGAAGGATTTAACTCCCAGAGGGATAGAACAGGTGCCAGAGCCAGGTGGAAAGAGCGCCACACAGGAAATGCAACAAGTAAAAATAACACTAACCACCTTTTTGTGTTTCAGGGGTTGGTGACTCTCCTGCTTACAACTGGTACAGCAACAGCTACCACTGCTTCCTGGTATAGCATCAACAAAACAGCAGCTTATTTGATGGTTCCTTATTTAGCTTGGCTAAGCTTGGCTTCTGCACTCAATTATCAGATCTGGAAAGACAATCACAGCAAGAAAAAACCTGAATAAGCAGTTTTCAGCCAAAACCATTTTTTTTCCCCAATTATTTTTTATATAAAGTTATGGCCTTATTTTATTTTTAGCTGAACTACTTCTACCATTACTTTGGTATCTACAAGTTGACAAAACAAATACAACTTTATTAGGCAAGCCACAATGGGGTGTATGTCTGACTGGGTTTTATAGCAAACTAAAAGTCTTGATTGAAAAGTAGTAAGTGCCATATTCTGGTGTTGTATGTTGCATAACAACACCATTTTAACCATTACCAGAAGAAAGCAGGAACTCAAACTTCCTTATGTTCAGAGGAAGAAATCCAGCCACACACTAACACAGTTTCCAGAAAGGTGACAGGCATAATTGTGGCCTGAATCTTTCATATATTTACCACTAGGCACAGTGCTTTTGTGCTGTGATGTGTCCCACTACAGTCACCAGATATTTGTCTTCTGGCCATTGTTTTCCAGAAATGTTTAAGACAAGCTCTTTTTAGCAATTTGTGCCTTCCGACTTTGAAGAACTGTACATGCATTCAGCTAAATGCATTAAACTACGCATAACCTTGTTCCTTGCTGATATAGTTTTAAATTGTTTTGAGCAGAAGAACACTGAAGGCAGCAGGATGCTACAGCCTCAAAGACAGCCCCTTCATCACTTTTCCTCACTTTTGCAATGGCTAACACAAACCACCGCAAACCACCACAGAGCATCTGTAAAGAAACTGTGAGAACCCAGTCACAACATTTCTTTAACCAAATTTAAGGAACCCAAACATCTGAGCAGAGGGCCAGCATGGTGTGAGCATCACTTCTGGTTGTGCAACCCTGCTCTCCCTTCTGTCCCACTTGCACAGCAGTTGGATTTTCCCAAGTTTATTTCTCCAGCCTATTTCTCCAGTTTATTTCTCCAGTGCCAGTCAGTGGAACAAAGCAGGTTCCTGCAGACTAGCCTGAAATAGCCTCAGATATTCCTTCATGTTCCTTATCATGAGGGATAACGTGCTACATGTTTGCAAAGTTTGAAGCAAGGTTTAGAACACTTACACAATTTTATAACTACTTTCCTCTCAAGCACATCCTAATTGCTGCAAACTAGCTTAAATAATTACTACCCATACAATACGTATGTCATGCCAGACAGAATTTTTTGCAGCTTGCACATAAAATTGCTGAACTTCAGGCAAGTGACCCTGATTTGAGGAAAGATTAGGAATGATTAATTTCAAATGAACACCCCACTGCTGTCGCCCTGAAAACTCAGCTTCTGAGCTTGCTGACATGGTTTTCTAAAGACTTTCTCACGACAGTAACTGTAAACATAGATATGTGTACATTCTTTCTGTTACACGTATTGTGATGGGCATCTCTCATGGCCAGTGCAGTGAGAAAGTGTTATCCTGACCATGCAATCCCTGGCCGTGGTCAGAAGCCTATAAATCCTGGGAGGAAAAATAAACTTTCTCTTCCTTTCACCACACCTCGACCTGTGTCCATGTGATCTATTCATCTTCAGCGGCAACACACTGCCAAATACTCTCTCGTAGGCCCTAAACTTTGAAGTCCAAAGACTGTTTGGACTTCTAGCAGTTTTCAAAATTCCTTTAATTTCTTTCAGCTTATGCATTCCTGTGCTGTTCGAGACATTGCCTCCTGCTGACTTCCTCAAAAATCTGGTTTCTTTAAGGGGCAGGCCAAAGATGACAGCCAGCAGTACAAGTTCTTAAATGCAGCAGGGTTTGTTTCTCTTATGTTAAATAGGAAAAATGGGAAGATCTGTAAAATCTTTTGTGGATGATATCCTGATCTGTGCATCAGAAAAGACTCACTTGGACATCACTGTTAAAAGAACCATTGAAGCCATAGAGAAAGCAGAATTCGAGATTCGTGAAGACAACGTGCAGTACACCAGCCCATTGACTTACTTCGGACTCCAGATTCGTGAGAAGACCATCGTACCCCATCAACTCACCATCCGAGATGACACAAAGACCTGAGAGACTTACACAGTTTATGTGGGTCCATCAACTGGATACATCCCCTGGTAGGGACTACAACAAAGGACCTTGCCCTCCTGTACCATCTTCTCTGTGGCAGCGGAGACGTGGATTCTCCACTCACTCTCACATCAGAAGCCTGAGATAGCATCACCAAAATCCAAGAAGCCCTGTCTTCATGCCAAGCCCATCATTTCGAGCCCGGCCTGCCTTTCCAGTTTGTCATTTTAGATAAGGCCCCCTGCTTCTACAGGTTGAATGGGATCCTCAACTCAGAGACCCTTTATTGATATTTGAATGGATCTTAACAAGCAACCAACCTATAAAAACAATTACCACCTTTCAAGAAATAATGGCACATCTAATTAAAAGGTCAGAACTAGCCTCCGCTCTTTTGCAGGGTGTGAGTTTACATTAATATACTTGCCACTGACTACTGGGGATCTGGAGCATATGCTCCATCCAAGTGAAAGCCTCCAGTTCACCCTGGATAGCTATACAGGACAAATTTCCATCCACATGCCAAAGCATAGACTTTTTAATTGTAATTCACCCTTTAATCTGATCCCAGAATTAAACCAAAGTAGGACCCCTCCCAAAGCTCTAACAGTTTTTACAGATGGCTCAGGGTCATCCCACAAGTCAGTAATGACTTGGAAGGATCCCAAGACCCAGAAATGGGAGTCTGATGTCCAAGTAGTGGAGGGATCTCCACAGATTGCCGAGCTAGCAGCTGTCATCAGAGCCTTTGAGAAATTCAGAGATGAACCCTTTAATCCACAGATTCAGCTTACGTTGCTGGCATATCTATGAGGGCTGAACATGCTTTTCTCAAGGAGGTCTCCAATCCAAACCTATACCAATTGATTTCTGCATTAATTGGTTTAATCTCCCACAGAAAGCAACCTTACCATATTATGCATGCTAGGTCACGCACCGACCTGCCAGGTGCCATCACAGAAGGGAACAAGAAGACAGATGTGTTGGTCATATTGGCAGAGACTGCTAACATCCCTGACACCTTTGCCCAGGTGAAGCTGTCACATGCATTTTATCATCAAAATGTACCTGCCCTCATCAGAATGTTCAAGCTCTTAAAATATCAAGCGAAAGCTATTGTCGCAATGTGCCTAAACTGCCAAAATTGCCAGATACCATGTATGGGTATCGTGGTTAACCCCCAGGGCCTGAACAGCTGTCAATTGTGGCAGACTGATGTGACTCACTTCCCATCCTTTGGAAAGACAAAGGAGAGAGGAACAACACAAACCCCTCCTTTCACCTTAAAGCTAACAAACTTTGCTTATATTCTCTATCAGAAGCCCTATCCTTGTCCAAAGATGAAATTTATCTACATTGATGCAGCCCTCACTGCTGCCTGGATGCTCCTCACTGAGCCACATGCCTTCAGCTGGGTTGTCCCACAGCCTAGCCATGTTTGGGTGACCTTAGCAAAGACACTAAAACAAGATAACTTGTGCCTGTCTGCTGCCTTATGCGAGGCAGACACCCTGGTTCAGGAGCAGCACAGTGGCCATGCCCAGGCCACTCGGTCCATTTGCACACAACATCAATGTGATGGATGGCAGAAATGGCATTTATTGCTGAAGAATTTGACACTTTATAACCTAGGTTCACAGTGTTACTCCCATCTGCTTTCATCACAGCTAGGTGCTAATTACGGGGGTCATTACCATAACTAAGGAGGAGGGGGATGACTATCTTTCCATTACATCCCGATATTTTCCAAGTGCTGGGCCCTAGCTTCCCACACGGGTCCATGGGCAGCCTAGACAACCCACTTTCCATGTGTCTGGTAGGGATTCCCTTGGTATGAATGGCCCATCACCAACTCAGATCTCCTCTGCACCACAAGTAAGAGGCCCAATCCAGTAGACACTTGAGACGAGTGGACAAAGATTCTGCCACAAGCTCCAGAGGAACCCCAAGAACTAGATTTGCTGGGGTACTCCAAAGCAACATGCTGTGTCAAATTTTACTTTAGACAACCACACCACCATTGGCCAGAAATTGACCAGGCAAAAAACACATACAGAAAAGACATATCACCAATTAACAAAGCCTATAATAATCTAAATTGGTGTAATTACACCAGTTGCATACTCTCTGTGTCCTCACTCCACCCTAAAGTGTTGCCCTGGGGAATGTTTCTTATATGTGGTGACCGAGTATGGGCTGGGATCCCCTCCTGTCTCCAGCGGTGTCCCTGTAGCCTTGGCAAACTTTCTACCCTCGCTCCAAATATCACATTATTACATGATTGGAAAGAAAAGAGAATTGACACACCAAAAGAGACCCTATTCAGAATCTGATGGAAAGTGTGACAGCAAAATTTAAAACTGAAACACAGGAAAGCGAGTTGCGGTTTCCCTGATTCTCCCTTGGGTAGCTGCAGCTAAAGCCCTTGGTGAGCTAAATCATCTGGGGTGTTGGCTTAGCAAGTAGGTCAATGCAACATCTGCTGCCCTGAGAGATCTTTTAAGGGATGAGGAGACTACCAGACATGTAGCCCTACAAAATCAAGCAGCAATTGACTTCCTACTACTTGCCCATGGACATGGCTGCCAGGACTTTGAGGGGGTGTGCTGCTTCAACCTCTCTTTGTGCTCAAAATTCATCCACACCAACATCCAGAAACTGAAGGAACAAGTAAAGGGCATAAAAGTAGAAAAGCCAGACTGTCAATGAACTTTTCAGACAATGGGGATTAACAGGATGGGTTTAATCTTTAGTTAAGGGAATTTTGTGGATTTTTGTTCTGATCCTTACTGTGTTACTTATGTTCTCCTGTGTTGTATGTTGCTTTAGGAGTTGTTAAGAAGGCCTTTTTACTAAATACATAAGGGGGAGTTGTGGAGGCAGGTCAGTCTGCCAAGGCTTTCCCTTGGAGGAATGTGCCCTGGGGGAGCTGTGACAAGTTTATCCCAACCCTCTCCTGGAGAGATACCCCTTTGATGGGACCATCCTCTCTTCTCATGGTGAGGTATCCCACCATGCCTTGATGACTGTATTGGTCCTTTGTAGCCCATTGGTTTTCCCCCCTGGTACAACCCTGGCCTTCCCCCATAAAAACCCCAGCTTCTGCCCAGTTCAGCAGGGAGCTGCCATCCCAACGCTCCTGTCTATCTCTGAGTTGGCCCAGGATAACCTTGAAAGCAGAGCTGAAATCACTTGCAGCCACAGGCTGCCCTTTGCTGA